GGTTACCGTTTACCCTTCCCCGTACGAACGTACCGTACAGTACCTTACGGTAGTAGTAGAAGTTAGTGTCGTAGAGTAAAAGTTAAAAAAAAAACAGGACGTCCCATCTAAAATGAAGACAGTTCCTTACTTGATTTGCTTCAGCAGAAACTAAATAAGAAAAAAAAATCCAAGTGTAAATCGTAGGAATACAGTGTTCTCACTTCTAGGTGCTCTCAGGCTGGACAAGGGCCTAAACTGCACTACACGTGACTGGCTTCCGGGGGCGCCGGGGGCGGGGGCCGGCACACTCGGACTCTTCACGCAGCGGTGGGGTCTCGCCTGCACCAGCCGGGCTCACCCCCCCGCGGCAGGTCCGTGGGGACGGCGCGTGGCGCTGTCACCCGGTGTGGGTGGGCTGGCGCACATGGGGCCTCACCCAGGAGGAAGCGCGACACGCTGCTGGGGTGCGGCCCGTGCCCCGGCAGGACACCTTGAAGATGACCTACACTCGTGGTCCTCGGAGGCGGGGGTGACCTACGAAGGCGTCCACTGAAGAGGGAGGTGCCCGGAACTCCAGAAGCCCTCACTCCGACACAAGCAGACGTGGGGGCGGGCATTAACGCCGCGACCGTCACAGTTCTAAAGGAAGAGCTTCCAGTACCACAGGCAGGCTGGCACCTCTCACCCACACTCGCCACAGCACGGGGAGAGCTGTCATCACAGCACGACAGCTCGTAGTCTCGCTGCCAACATCCCAGCGGCCTGCCGGCTCCCGTCCAGGACCGCAAACCCACACGCGGAGCCATAGTGATTATTCCGTTTCCCGGGGGGCTGAGGCCAGGTCCACGAATTAACGGCAACTCGGAAGACACGGCTACTGCCACCCTCCGTCCCCGGCCGGACCCCCTCCCAGCAGCGTGCCACGCGGGGAGCAGGCAGCCGCCGCCTGTCAGGATCTGCCTTCGTAGCGACAGGAAATCATGTACTGTGCTCCCCCCACACTGGGATCTGCTCCTTACAGACGTGGAAAAGAATTTACACGTGATGAGGGAGAAACTCTCTAGGGGAAGCTGGAAGACGGTGGCTTGGCGGGCCGCCGTGAACACAGAGAAGGCTCAGATGCACGAAAGGGGCCGAGTTTACGGCTGCCTGTGGGTCCGGCGAGCCAGCACTCCTGGGGCTCCCGAGGAAGGGGCTGAGAAGCTCTTGGGGCGGGAGACCCCACCTGGGGCTTCACCCTGGGGAGGCACTGCCCACAGACAGGGCCTGGACAGCCACCCCTCTGGCCCCTCCAGCCCAAAGCCCTCGGCCTCAGCGGAGCCCCAGCATGGCCACGTGACCAGATCGTGAAGGTGGCCCACGCTGGTGTCGCCCTGCAGAAAGGGTCGCTGTTTGGTGGGCGCCTGGCTTTGGGGGCCTTGTTGGGTAAAGTCAGCAGGTGGCAAACTGTCCTTATTCGCTTTTCCATGTGCCCACAGCTGCCTCGGCCTGACCCTCCCCCGCAGGACCCCCGCCTCTGGTCCCCGTCCCCTTCATGCGGCAGAGGCTAAACTTCCCTCCTGGTGCTGCAGCCCTGGGTCCTGTGTGCACACGGCATCGAGGGGCCAACGCTCCGTGCACTCGCAGTGATTACAGGGAGGGACCGCGGTGTGTTCCGGGGGCCCGGAGGCAGACACTCAGCCCGCAGCCAGGGTCCTCATCGCTGTGAAACAGGCTGCGGGCTGAGCCGTGGACTCTGTCACAGAGGGCGGGTCACAGGTGAGAACGGTTGTCACAGGGGCCGTGACCCCCACGTCCAGACAGCACCGAGGAGAGGGTCCCGCTGGTGAGGGTGGAGTGTTTCTCGTGTGTTGTTTGCAGGGGCTGGGGGTTTCTGAGCAGCAGGCCAGCCGGGGCAGTGGCCTCCCTGCTCACACGGTAGACAGGTCCACGCGGTGTGCAGAGTGGCTGCTCTTGTCCCAGGGGCCGAGCTTGGTGGAGCCTGTGCCTGGCCGGGTCCCATTCATCTGCAAACCACAAAGTGGGGAGGCATGAAAGGGTTGAACGAGGACCAGCCCCTGAGCCTCCATCACCCCGGCCCAGCCGGGGCAGCTGTCTGCCCAAGACAGATGATGCAGATGATGGTGCCAGGGAAGGAGGGAGCTGATGCTGGAGGCTCAGGATTTAAAAGACCCATCCTCAGTGCCACGCCATCCTCAGAGCCGCGCCATCCTCGGTAAGGCAGAGGCTGCATGTAACTCATGAAGCTGGAAAGCAAGTCCAGGGCGGGGCTGACGAGGACAGGCTTACCAGGCAACGGGGACAGGGAACCAGAGCCCTCGGTCAGTGAGGGCTGAGGAGCGGAGGCGCTCAGGGCAGGGCCGGCCAGCGGGGGAAGGGGGCAGGCGAGACACGCCGGGCACTCACGATGTCCGAGCTGAAGGGCTTCACGTTGGCGTGGCGGGCGGAGCTGCTCGTGAGGGACCAGACCTTGGTTTTATGCTTGAAGGCCGCTCTCACCTTCAAAGCAGAATGGAAGGCGCGTTAGAAGCAGTGGTAAGAGGTCACTCTAAAATGTCTCGAGGAGTCTGTGCTGATTTAAAGCGGAAACACCAAGCGCAGAGGAGGACGGGACTCCTGAGCGTCAGACCCAGACAGAGTCCGTGGTCCAGAGCTGAGCTCTGCGTCACTGACTCATCTGGCAGGTGGAGGCTGCGTCCCCACCACCGGCCCGGACCCTGCATGGGCAGGAGTGGGATCTGGCCTGGCCTTTGCTGCCGCACAGCTCGGGGCGGGGAGACAGGCCGCGCTCAACAGTGAAGGGCATGGGGGCAGAGTGCGTGCCGGCACAGAAGCCACAGACAGAGGTAAAGGAACAGACGCACATGAGGGGCAGGCCGTGTGCGGTTCTGAGGCTGCACCCCCTCTGCCGCGGGACCAGTGGCCTGGCTGGGCTGCTCCCTGGTCTTTGCAATCATGGGACTCCCCCCCGACCCCGTCGGCCGCCATCGTCCTCGGCAACTCACCTGCACTGCCCCACCCCCACAGCTCCTCCGGCCTTGCCTGACCCACCCCTGAGCAAATGGACGGACGCTCCTGAGAAAGCACAGATGAGGTGGTGCTCCTGCCCTGGTCCCAGTCACCACTCCAGAGGCACTTCCCCCTGACGGTAGCCTGGCAGGGGCTCAGATGCCAAGGAACACAAGCCAAGCCCACAATTTAAGGATAAAACTTCTCCCATGGCCTGTAAGCCCCAAGGGACGGGGTGCGGAGCAGCCTCCACTCACCCATGGCCAAGCGCACAGCAGAGGCGAGGCTCCCGGAGGCACCGAGAAGAATGAGCTCCAACCACCCCAGGCCCGTGAGGCTGCATCACGGAAGCCCCACCCCCACCCCCTGCAGTCGGGTCTCCTCCTCACACCTCAGGCCGGCTTCCCGAATGCCTCTGAGGAGGGTTTTCTGGGAGCACATGTGCATCCCACTCTCCCTAATACATCAGGTGCCAAACAAGGTCCTGATTCTCGGCTCAGCTCTCCCACCCTGTCTCCGTCTCCCCCGGTCCTCCACAGAGCCATCGGTGCCTGCGTGACACCAATGGGGAGGATGCACATACGTTGCTTAGTAACCAGCACGAGGGAGCAAGGGCTGATGGAAAGCGGCTCCCTGCACACCACCCACGTCCAGCACCAGGGCTCACTCAGGATCCCATTCCCCGACACCGGCCCGAGGGGCAACACCATTCCCGCTCTCCGTGCCCTTTCAGAAATGAAAAAATAGCTTCATGTGGTCAAGAAGTGGAGCAGACATACCTCCGAATTCAGCAGACAATGAAAGAGGAAGATGAAAAATCCCTGGGAACAAAGGGGAGAAAAACACAGAATTAGAGCCGCTCGCATTTTGTTGCAAACACCTCCTGAGGGCGCTTCCCAGCGCCGCCCACAGGCTCCGAGCGGGAGCGGCAGGGCTCGGCGTCGGGGAGCGTGGGAGCGGGCTGTGGGGCCGGATCCTGTGCCCGGAGGCCATGAGGGCGGAGGCTGTCCTGGGATCTGGCCTAGACGGAGACAGCCAGTGTGACCGGGGCCCACAGGTGCTGTGACACTTGGACAAAGACACAGAGACAGGTGGATCCCAGACGGGCTTAGCCGGGAGAGGAGCGAACCTGCTGGGGAGGGCGAGTGGGAGGGCGTGGCGCCGTCACCCTAGCTAAGCCTTGGCGCCTGCGCCGCAGGCTGAGGACGATGGTCACAGTGAAAACAGACGCAAGAATGGGGATGTCCCCAGACGCCTAGAGACCGTAGTCCGCGTCAGCACTGGGCAGGCCCTTCACGTGAGTCATCGCACTCAGAGCTAAAAGCAGCCCCAGGAGCTGGGTCCTGTTGTTGTCCCCGCTTTGTGGAGGAGGAGAGTGGGACACCGAGAAGGGAAATGAGGAGCGTGTGCCGGCTGCAGCCAGGACCCCCGCCACCTTTCGCTAGAAACTGCCAGAGGGAAACTGCGCATGGAGGCTTGGTACACAGCAGCGGCCCGACACAGCTGCTGGCCGCGAAGGCCGGGCGCAGCGAGGACGCTGCAGGTGC